GCTCAAAGAAGGCTTTCAGTATGAGGAACAAATCAATACATATCAGTTGAGCAACATATCAGTTGAGTTAAAAACAGAGAAAGAGGCTGGCGTGGTGGCTCATGCCTTTAATCCCAGCACTTGGGAGGTAGAGGCAGGCAGATCTCTGTGAGTTCAAGGCCAGCCTGGTCTACATAGTGAGTTCCAGGACAGCTGGGGCTACAGGGAGACCCTGTCTCAAAACAACAACAACAACAGCAACAACAACAACAAAACCAAAAACCAAAAAACCAAAAACAAAAAAACCAAAAACAAAAAAACAGAGAAAGGGGTTGGGGAGATGGCTCTGTTGATAAGACACTGTGATGGCTAATCCTGGGTGTCAACTTGACTGGACCTGGAATTAACTGAAATGAGAGAGATCTTCTTAACTAGATGATCTGAAGCTGGAAGACACACCCTAAATGTGGGTGTTACCTTCAGTTGGCAGCCCTGCATAAAAGGCCACCGCAGAAGGGAACTCCTGGCTTTTTGCTACTTGCCTTCTCTCTTGCTGGTGAGTTCGTCTTGCTGCTGTGGACTGAAGACTAGCTGATCTTTTGGAATTCATCAGACCTTCAGTGCCAGATTGGGACTATTGAGACATCCAGCCTCGTGGACTGAGCGACTATGGGTTCTCAGCCTCTCCAGTGTGATGCATCCATTGTTGGACTACTCAGACTCTATGTGAGCTAAGCTGATAAATCTCTATACATATTCATTCTACTGGTTCTGTTTCTTTGGAGAACCCTGACTAATACAGGTGCTTACATGAGGACCTGGGTTCCATCTCCAGAACTGATGTTAGAAAAAGCCGGGTATGGTGGTATGCACTGAGATGGTGCTTTAGTGTCAACTTGACACACCTGGGTTGAGGGAGCCTCAGGTGGGGAATGTCCTCCAATGGACTGGCCTGTGGCCATGTCTGTGGGGCATCTTCTTGATTATTGAGTGATTTGGGAGGGCCTAGCCCACTGTGGGTGGTACCACCCCTGCAGGTGGACCTATGTTGTATAAGAAAGCAGGTTACCAACATCTCAGTGTTAGTAGCAAAAACAATGAGTCTTTCTGCAAGGAACAATATATTCTAAAATGAAATGGAGATCTTTCGTATCCCAGCACCCACATGGCAGCTAACGACTGTCTGTAACTCCAGTTCCAGTGGATCCGACAGCCTCTTCTGTCCTCCATGGGTATTGCATGACATGGGTGCACTTACTTACATGCAGGCATAACACACTAAAAAAAAAACTAATAATAATGAATAAAATTAAAAAAAAAATAAAAAAGAAAGCAGGTTGAGAACAGACCAGAGGAGCAAGTCAGTAAGCAATGTTCCTCCATAGCCTGTGCTTCAGATCCAGCCTCCAGGTTCCTACCGTGAGTTCCAGCCATGTGGGTGCTGGGACTCAAACCTGGGTCCTCTGCAAGAGCAGCCAGCACTCTTATCTGCTGAGCCATCTCTCCAGGCGCTCCCCGCTCCCCCCCAACCACCTTGGGCTCCTTGATGAATTGTGACCCGAGAGATGTAAGTCAAATGAACCCTTTCCTCCCCAAGTTGGTATTGGTCAGAATATTTTGTCACAGCAATGGAGAAACAAACTAGAACAGTAGAGACTGATGGATTCCTGGAGCTAGCTGGTCAGCCAAGCTAAACTGCTGGGCAAGTTTCAGACTATCTATCAGTGAGAGGCCTTACCTTAAAAAAAAAGGTGGTGGTGGGGGGTGAGACTGGAGAAATGCTCATCAGTTAAGAGCACTGGCTGTTCTTGCAGAGGACCCAGGTACCCACATGGCAGCTAACAACTGTCCATAACTGCAGCTCCAGGGGAATCTGACTCCCTCTTCTGGTCTCTGCGGGCATTGCATGACAATGGGCACACTTACATGCAGGCAAGACACTCATACACATAAAAATAATAATTTTTAAAAAAGTGGATGGCGTTTCCTTCCTGATGCTGCCGCCATTGGACAGCTGCAGCTATGGCTCTGCGCTACCCTATAGCGATGGGCCTCAACAAGAGCCACAAAGTGATGAAGAACGCGAGCAAGCCGAGGCACAGAGGGCGGAGCCGGCGCCTCACCAAGCACACCATGTTTGTGCAGGACATGATCAGGGAGGTGTGTGGCTTTGCACCCTATGAGCGGTGTGCCATGGAACTGCTCAAGGTGTCCAAGGACAAGCGGGCACTCAAGTTCATCAAGAAGAGGGTGGGGACACACATCCGTGCTAAAAGGAAGCGGGAGGAGCTGGGCAACATGCTGGCGGCCCTGAGGAAAGCTGCGGCCAAAAAGGACTGAGCCCAGAGCCCAGAGCCCACTTCCTGGCCCCTCAATAAATCTTTCATTAAAAAAAAAAATAGTAGTGGATGGCATCTGAGGAATGACACCTGGGTTGTCTTTTGGTCTCCACATGTACATGCACAAATGTGCGCATATGCTGCCACACATACGGACATGCACATACACAACCCTACCCCTTACCCCCAAAAAAAGAAAAATGAAAAAAAAAAAATACTCCAATGGCTTCCTGCATCATTTGGAGTAAAAGGAAATATCTTGCAGTGACCTGCAGGTGCTAGCCAACCTGACCTCCTCCCATTTATTCTTCTGTTGGACCCGTTGCTCTAACCCTGCTCACTTCACCGTCGTCATTTTGGCCTCTGCTGATCTCTGACAATACCATTTATATGATGTTGGAAGCTGAATTCTGTACCTGAAAATTCCTAGGTTGAAGCCTTTTAAAGTTCCAAATATGAGTGTTTTGGAGAGCGGGACTTCATGGGGTCAACTGAATTAAATGGCTACCAGAGCAACTGTAATCCAATAGACTGCTATCCTCATAGGAAGAGATAAGACACACAGAGACGCCAGTGCCTTGCATGCAGAGGAGCAACCACATGCAGAGTCAGAAGAGGAAAGTCATTTACAGGCTTGAGATAGAGGTCTCAAAAGAAAGGGACTTGTCAACACCTTGATCTTGGATTTCCACCCTGCAGACCTGTGAGAAAAAAATAGACTGCTGTTTCTACCACCCAGTTGTAGTATTTTAATATAGCAGCCTTAGCAAATGAATAGGCACAATTACTTCAGGGTCTTTGCATTTGTTCTCTGTACCTAGGATACTCTCTTCACAACCATGCGTGTTTCATTTCCTCATTAACTTCAAGCATGGTCTTCACATATATTTTAGTGAGGCCTTCCTTGGCTACTGTGTGTAGACTTACAAGTGCGCCTTCCAACTTTTCCCATCTCCCTTCTCCACTTTACTCTCTTCATGACAACAGTCCCTTCTAATATTCCATGTGTTTTACTGACTTGTTTTGTTAGTCTTTGTGTCCTGTCACTAGACTGTGAGCTTAATGAGGGTCTATTTCTTCCATTACTTTATTCTCAAAGCCATAACAGCTCTTATCTCAAAGTAGGTACTCAGTGCATGACAAATGCATATTAGCCAGTCTTTCTCTCATCATTAAAAATTTGACTTACTGGTTTCTTAAGGTGGGGCCCAACATTTCATGCAGAGAAAGCCAAGTTCACTGGCAAGGGCCCCTAAATGCCTGTGGAGCTAAGTTGTCTTGGCTGACAAATGAAAGCCAGAACGTCTCCCAGAAAGCTTGGCGAACTCATCATTTCTAGAACTTTTCAAAGTTACAGTTTGTAATTGTGGAAATCAGATAACAACTATGTTGGCATTAGTAGGTGCAAAGTATATTCTTTTTAAAAAATATCTTATTATTTTATGTGTATGAATGTATTGCCTGCATGTATGTAAGGCACCCATGTTGTGCAATGCCCACAGAGGATGGAAGAAGGCATTGGATCCCCTGGAACTGGAGTTACAGACAGTTGTTAGCATGTGGGTGCTGGGATTCGAACCCAGGGTCTTTTGCAAGAAGAGACAGTGCTCTTAACTGCTGAGCTATCTCTCCAGCCCCCACAGAGTATATTCTTTCTAAAATATGAAGTTTCTCATAGAGGGTGGAGCTCCATGGTACCACTCCATTTCATAACAAGGTGTTGATGGGCCTCATCTTGTGCAGGGAATCCCAGCTGCTGAGTTCAAGAGTACGGCAGCCTCGTTATGCCTGGAACTCAGTATTCCACACTGCTCTCCACTCTTCTTTCAGCTCTTTCATTGTTTCTGACCCCTTTTCTATGATGTTTCCTTGGAAGGAGTGCTCTAAGTGTCTCTATTTGTGACTGGGCATTCAACAGTTACTTCTTTTCAGTACTTCCACTAGTTATAAGTCTCTGCAGCCACTGCTGACCACTGCAAAAGAAGCTTCTCTGATCAGAGTTGATAGCAACACTAATTTATGGGCATAAACATAGTTATTCATAAGGCAATTTGACAGGCACATTATTTCAACTTAGGAAAACAACAGTAGTTTCCCCACTAGGGCCTTTGACCTCTCCAGTCATAGATTTGTTTATTTTTTATTTAAAAAAATTTTTTTTTTGTCTTTTTGAAGCAGGGTCTCCCTGTAGCCCCAACTGTCCTGGAACTCACTATGTAGACCAGGCTGGCCTTGAACTCACAGAGATCTGCCTGCCTCTGCCTCCCAAGTGCTGGGACTACAGGCATGTGCCACCAGGTTGCCAGTACCAGATATAAATTCTCTCCTGCATAGCAGCCATCAAGTCCAGTCAGAATGTGGTATTTACCCCCATTATAGACCTGCCAGTATTGCACCCAGTGGGATCATTTTGCTTGCTGGTTAGCAGCGTTGCATACAGAGTTCACAACTGAATAAGATTGTTGATAGTTGATGGGAGAGAGAGAGATTCTGCAATGGTGTAGTCACAGGGAATGTTCCCATGCTCCTGTAAGCAACCCTAATGAAACTCACTGGCTTTCATACACACACACACACACACACACACACACACACTTGCATGTATGGAAGAAGATTAGGAGGAAATGGAAGGGAACAAGAGAGGGCAATTGGGTGGTACATATGATGAAAATTATGTACATGCCTGAAAATGTTTTGATGAACCATTATTTTGTATAATTAACATATACAGATAAAGACATTAAATGTAAAATATTCATCTTCCTTTCCTTCAGTTAAAATTTTTTATTATTTAGCTTGGGAAACAGAAAGTCAACAACAGCCTGTACAGTAAGGGAGAGGAATCCTCTGAGTGGGTGTATACGTGCAGGCAGGCATGTGTATATGTGCAGGCAGGCGTGTGTATATAGGGGAATATTTGAACCCAGCTAAAATTTAAGGTTGACTGAAACATTTTAAAGGGATGAACAGGCTTACTTGGCTTTCTTGGCTCTCCTTATTTACATGTCTCTATAATAAATGGATTTGTTGTCCTGGGCAAGCTCCACTGATTTGAATTTAAAGGTAGATTTCCTTTCATTTTTGCATTCATGCATGACAGGACTTTAACTGTGCATGAAAACAAGCAGAATTGAAATATTTTCAGACGACTTTTGCCAGGAAGGAAAAGTAAGGCTAGGAATGTGTGAACAGGTTATGTCTTGTGGGAACTAAAGACATTTATGAATCTTGACTTTGGAGTTGGTAAGGGCTGGTATTAATCCCATAATCCCACATGACCACTTCTAAGATACTGTGGTCACACCTCAAAAACCTCTGTTATGTCTCATTTGACTGTATTTGTCAGAAGTTCATAATTCAGAAATCTACCAGTTGGGATAAAAAAACATTTACTTCATATGTCTCATAAGGGTAGGTGAGGCAATGCACAGAAAGCATTGAGCTCAACACTTAGAAATTTGTGACAATGTTAATACTCTATGTCATTATCTCATGGCTTGCCTTGGGTGGCTCTTTCCTGTTTTCCAAGTTTTCATACAAACAATAAACTACACTCAACTACCAAAGGGCCCGTATTGCTAAAAGTGTAATCTGAATGTTTCCAGGCTCCTTTCTCCATTCTCACGGGATTTAGAAGGTCAGACTCTAGGGGAGTCGAAGTAGGAACGCAAACACTCCTTACCACCACAGAGACAAAGAAAGTTCCTTTCTGGCAGGTTTGAAAATAATAGCAAAGGTTTGCTAAATGTATTGTTCTATGAAATGTTTCTGTTTATTTCTTTATTAGGTTAAGTGCATTGAATTCCAAGTTCAGAAAAATGAATTCAGACATTGCAATTACTCAGCAACTTACTCCTCTGAACTTGAGAGTGTAGAGTTAACAAGCCAGGTGTGCCTTTTAGACATAGGTAAGGGGGCTGTGATGTGAGCAAGCCCCTTTCTGGCGTATGAGGATTTTGTGGCGGCAATAAGATGTGCCCACCTGATCCCCTTCTCACCCTAATAGACCAGATAGGAACTATGGAGAACCTCCACATTTCTGCCCAAATCGCTTCATCTCAACCTTCCAATTCCGTTCTTCCTAAGCAGACTTCAGGCACTGTGCCTATCCAGAGGTCTGAGGCTAAGAACAATGATTGAGGGGAGGGGAGAGGCAGGGATAGAATAGGAAAGGAGAGTGGAATTGCAGGCATGAATTGTGATCTTTTAAGGTGTTTTCACTGGGCTTCTTACTGCATAGTACAGAACTCAAGCTGAGGGGCAAGAGGAACAGGTTGCAAGCTCTGGGTTGGAACGGGCTGGCTCTCCTGTTGCTCTCACTTTATAGCAGTGCACAGAGCCCAAAAGTTCTGCATTCAGACAGTCTTTCTGACCTTTTAAAGGTGTGCTATCATAACGGAGGGATCAACTCTCCTTCTTCTAGCTGGCTGTTTCTTTGGATTTTATAGAGTCCATGCTGTTGTTCTAAGTTGGATTGCCTCCTTGCTCTGGACGAGTGTTAGAGGTAGTCTGCAGCACAGGACATAGATTACAGGAGACATGGAGTCATAGATTACAGATGTCAGAGATGGAGACCTTCAGATCAATGTAGCACAGCTGCTTCATTTTAGATAGAAGAAAAATTAAATCCGCTCGGTATCAGCAAAATTTATAGCTTATAGATTCTTTGATGAAAGATGACATGGGTGCTATTAATACAAGAGGTGTGATGGTTAAGAGTGACTTCCATCATAATTACTGCTGCATTTGACTCATCAGAAGGTATTGGTATTTTATTGTGTGTTCTGTGCACTTCAAAAAGTATTTGATTGACTTCTGACAGATTGTGGTTGGAAGTGCACTGGTGAACTAGAGTCAAATCTCACACTGCCAGGAAGCTGTCTCCTCGTAGGACATTCTGGTTTAAGCCCTGCAATGGGCAACAGACCTAGTTAGATCTTCATCTACACATGTGTGTGCCATTTACTCTATCTTATCTGGAACTGGTTGTTTACAGATCTG